AAAGTAAAAGAATGTATTCAAACAAAATCTCGTAGACGGTCGACTAAATGTAAAAGATGGCCTCAAGTCGATGTAACAAAACAAGAAGAAATAACTAACCCTTTATTGGAGACAATACATGATGTGATGAGACGTTCTCACATTATTTACAACATCATTCTTGTATACATCCGCTTAGCCTTAGCGTCCCAATCATCAGTTAAGATAAGAATGCATGAAGAATTTAGGCACTATGTTAAAATATACCGTCTTACTCACATTGATGAGTTACGTAAGGAAAATCCAAGTGTGACAATTCTCCCTTCAAGAATAAAATATTGGCAAAGGTTTTGTTATGAATTTCGATATGGTGTAGACCAAATCTATTGTGCAAGACAATTGAAGATTGCAGAAGAAGTATTTCAAGATATTGTTAAGAATACCAAACACTTAGACAGTTTATTTTATGTTTAATTGCAGAAAGACGGCCCAGGCCTGACTTACTAAAATGAACAATTCACTCCTTTTCGTCTTACTAATAATAGGTAGTGTTAAAGCAACTCTCATCAGACAAAACGTAGTCTTTGAGAAAATAAATGATGTCACAACTACTAGATCTAAATGGTTAGTCGCATTTGTCTTAGACTTAAATCCGTACCAAGATATCTTAGCCAAATTAAACAACAGTCTTTCTGAAATAAGTAATGATATTTATGTTGAATCTCAAGTGTGGCAGTTACACCCAAAAATTGACCTTAATCTGGCCAATAACTTACTAGTACTTCACCATGAAGTTAAAAATTTAAGACAAACTCAGGAATTCTTACAAGAAGAACTTAGAAATATAAAAACACTACATCAGACTCGAACTAAAAGAGCGTTGATTCCAATTGTAGGTAAGGCACTGTCCTTCCTTTTTGGTACATTAGATGAAGATGATATTGATACAATCAAAACTAATGTTAGGACCTTAAGAAATAATCAGGTACACCTTCAACATGTTGTTAAGGAAAGTTTAACTATCCTTCATACTGCCCAAGGCCAAATAGCAAATAACAGAAAGAATATTAATGAAGTAATAGATACTTTAACTGATCTAGCGAAGTTAGAGATGAATCTTAGTCATTCAGTTCAAGATATTGACAAATACTTACATACGTATACAAAGATAGATAGAGCCTTAAGTGAAGCTAAGGAAATAGTTGGTTTAGCTAGAGATTACTTAAACCACTTGAAGCTTCAAATTAATATGTTGTCTCTTGGACATCTCTCGCCAACTGTTATTGCACCCCCTGACCTAAGGAAATTACTAATTGATGTTAAAAGTAAGCTAAGTATGAATATGCAAATTCCTTTTGACCCTGACGTAGACCTTTGGACATTTTATAAGACTGTGACTTGTACAACCCTGATTGGACAGGACGACTTAATGGTAGTCATTGCCATTCCTTTGATTGATATATCAGATAAATTCACTGTGTATAGAGCACACAGTCTTTTATTACCTTATTTGGAAACAAACCAAACAAATCTTTTGGCCTCTTATAGATTAGAAGCAGAAGCCTTGGCGGTGAATGAAGCCAAGACACAATTTGTTATCTTATCTCTTGATGAAGTTAAGGAATGTGGAGGTAGCGTCAAGAAATACTGCAGATTTCGTAATCCAATATATACTTTAGTGTCAAACGAAATGTGTATAATATATCTTTTTATGGGATGGATTAAAGATATGGATAAGTACTGTACCACAGTGGTGCAAGCTAGAACTTCAACTCCTCAAGCCCAACACTTGTCTGATGGACACTGGGTAGTTGTTTCAGAAAAATCATTGACCTTTCATCTAAAATGTCCTGTTACTTCCTCTTTAGACAGCCTTAGCACGAAAAGTCCCATTGATATTATAAGCTTAAATGAGGGCTGCTCTGCTTCAAATGAGTTCATGACCTTACCATCCTTTCATCATTATGAAAGTACTTTTAACTTGTCTAATGACTTTAACGCCTTAATACATAATTACTTTATGGGATCAATTAAACTATGGAAGCCATTTTCTCAGAAATTTCCAAATATAACTTCAATCAAAATCCCTCCAAAGTTGAAGTCTATAAAAGAAATTCCTATTGATCATTTGATTTCGGAACTAGATAATATGCACAAATTGGTTCCTATGGAATCAGATAATTCTATCCAAACATACCTCATAATTGGAAGTGTAGTCATTGCTTTCTTAGTGATAGGATATTGCTTTCGGCATAAAATAAAAGATAAATGTCAAAATTATAGGAATAGTAGGTATAGTAAAAGGTCAGTTGTTAAGGGAGATTTGGAGTTGAGTTCTTTACCAATGCCTTATTTGCCTCGTCGAGAGCCTGATGTACCACAAGATTTACCAAGGCAATCTAAGGTTACAATGGTACCACGCTTACATCGCCACAGCACTTCTGAAGTAGACTTCCCTAGACCGGATTCGACTTTCGACAGACGACTTGCTGAATTGTGTTTAAAAGAATTGACAATCTTCCCACCTCAACTCAACTTAAATGGGAACCGGGAAGACTTACAGGTGATGTCAGGTGAACCTGACAACGACGACAACGTTGAGGGCGGTGCAAACCCCTCATCACCAGGTGGAGTAGCAGAGGAGGTAAAAACAGTAAAAAATAACCCTCTGGTATCCACCAGGAAGACAGTGATACAGGATCTTTATCCTGATATAAGAAAGGAACTGGACGGGAACTAGTCCCTTTGGCATGTCCTTCGTGACAATAAGGATAATTAAGGATAAAGTCACGTGAATTTAACAAGACTGACTACAACACATGTATACTTCTGTATCTGTTATACTAACTGTGGAAGAACAGAAGATGGGATTCTTATGAACATTTCGTGATTCTTATGAACATTTTAAGACGGGAAATGTGGTGCAAATTTCCAGACGAAATGTGATGGTTTCTAAAGGAACTATATTATTATTATGGGATATCTCCATGAACTGATGTGAGGGTCACAGTGAGATGGCTATTGGGACAAGATTGAGTGACTTTCGAATAATTCGGAACAGATTGAGTGACTTTCGAATAATTCTCAGTATATATATTATTAAGTGACAGTGAATTATAACCGTTGTTAGGGATTTATAAACATATAAATAATTTCTTAATTCAAGTAGATAGTTAAAATAATACTTGCATGTAGCATGCGAAAGATTGGCGTGTGAAAGCTGTAAGAAAGTAAAGGTAAAAGTCCGTATTAAAGAACAGCGCCAAAATTTCGCCTTGATATTGTTAAAAATTGTTGAGAAATATAGTCAGTAGTTTAGTACCGCCTATATTTCTTTTGTGTATGGGACGGATGTGACACTATCAAGTAGATCACTCTGTTGTTAAACCGGAAATGGTTATATGAACAGGAAGCAGTATTTTATTGTATATAATGTTGGTTGGAAATTTAAAATATGAAAATAATAATTTTCATGAATTTATTGTTGTTTAATTTAGCTTATAACAGGAATTGAGTGTTAAATATGTACATAGTATATTGCACCAAATATGACCTTTACCTGTCCAGCACTGCATAGCCAAGTAGGGACTTATGTAAACAATGGTAGCCAGAATTCATATAAACAAATGTGATGTGTATATATAAACAGTGCAGTACAGTTAGAGTAACGATGATTGTATAATTATAACGTAAAATATTTCAAGGTCATGAGAAAATAATAGTTTAGATAGTGAATTGTATATAGTTGCTTAGTACAGCATTATGAGTATGTAAGGTAAACATGACCGATTTAGCAGATGTTAGGTTCTGCGTAATTGTTAAGTATTTGATTATTATATATGTAAATAGTGACCAATATGCGGTGGGTCTGAAGACTGGTAGTACCAATTGTCATTCCAGACAATAGCTTCCTGGGATTGGGGAATGGACCAATCAACGGTCGTTGCACTAAATGTGCATCCCCAATCCATCAGCACTTATCCCATACACAATAACAAATGGCGCCAAGATTCTGCATTTTGTGTCCAAATCGGTATCATTTTGACAGAATCTTGATATGGTTGGGTCGCCAGGATCAACCATTGTTCTTGAGGAATTTCCACCTGCGGAGTTGTCCGACTTTTGGCTTCCCCTATAAATACTGGGCAGTTTTCGCTGCTCATTGCACTTGGATCTAGGGACGCCAAAGGGACAACTTCCGGTTGTGGGACTGACTCTACGGAAGCGTGATAGGGAGCGAGCCTTCTTGTGGACTTCACTGTGCTATATAAACAACAAGTAGAAAGGAATTTGGACTTGGCTTTTTCTTCGGGAAACACAACGCGAGCGGGGGCACAGTGGGGTTACAAATATGTATATTATTGAACAGAAATTTTCATATTTGCATTCCCCATAGCTAATAATGTTATCACCCTTACTAAGATTATATAGGTGCATAGAGTCATAAGACAGGACTTACATACAAACGCAATATTTGAACAGTATTTATCTAATTATATATTTAAACTAAATAAAATAAAATATCTACTTCAAACTTGATTAAACCATTTTCTCTTATTTATATACATATATTATAAACATATCGGGACATATTAAAATGATAAAAAGTAGGTAAAGCCTTATTATTCTGATAAAAACGTTTCTGGTCCGTTACTGGAAAATACATGATATGCATTGTCTGCGTTTAGAACTTGGAAAAGAAAACACGACATACTGACACCAGACACCAGAAAATTTATTGTTATTCGGTCTTTGTCCTGCTAACGGGTATGTTTATATCATATAAATAATTTAAGCAGCTTGTGTAGTTTTCTATCTCGTAAACTCGCCAGTGTTTTAGCTCGTGTACACACTTACAGCTTCTACTTCACTAGTACACACGTGTGTAGTTGACGACTCACTTGTATATCAAGAATGAAATGACCCACATAATCACTCAGCTATGTTATCGACCGACCTACGTAGGGGTTGCCTACATAAATCTTCCTGGTACCTGCCGATGGATTTTGATAGTGTTTCCTCACGAAAGAAAACTACATAAGCTTTACGATCATATCATACCATTGCAGGTAAAAGCCTATTAAATATTTTCCTTGTAATCTTTTATATTAAATCCTAGTATTATTTCTTGTCGTCAAAATTCATTTTCATGTTTGCTATATTAGGGTAACGTAAAACGAAAGTTATCACACAAAATGCAACTTTTTCATTATTTTATTTTATCTGTAATGAGGAAGATTGATTAGTTAATGACCAGGTTCATTTTCGTTTTAAATCGGTACTGAATGTGCGATATTTAACGTTTTAGAATGATTTTTGAGGAAATCTACTTTCGTTTTTCAAAGTTTTTCATGTGTACGGGACAGAACTTGTGTAAACATAATAAGCCTCATTTTGATCCTGTCTGCCCTGGTCTAGCCGATGATTCAGCGTATTGCATGAACGCATAACTTTCTATACTAGAAACATATCAGTTGTTAAATAGAACTATTGTAAAATTGTACAAATGAGAATTTCAAGTCAAACAATACTTCTCTTGCGTATGCATTTTAAATACACATATGCATATAATGCTAATGGCATACCTGGGACCAAATTAATCTGAAGCATTGTTGAATGATTATAGAACAAATTATTTGAAATCCAACTCCTGTAGAAATGGTTAGATTTTGCCAAAATCTGAGACATTGTTGAACAAAGAGGAATCAATTTAGTATAAATGGTGGGTCTCGGGGCACCTGGAGGGGCAGGACCCAATAGGGTAAAAAGAGGAAATTCTTCATAACCCTACTTCTCCTGTGGGAATGATTTAGTTCTCTCCAAATTTAGTCTGCACCATAGTTGGATGAAAGGGAGGCAATTTTGCACAAATGATTGGTCTCACCCACTTGAGGCAGGAATACCAGGGCCCAATTTGGGAAATAGAGCAAAATCGTCAAACTCCTACTCCTTCTATAGCAATAATTAAATTTTGCCGAAATTTGATGTGAAGCATGTTGGATGCAAGAAAATCAATTTTAACTGATAGGTGTCGGTCCCTGGAATTGGAGAGGCGGGGCCAAAAGGTGGAAATGGAGCAAATTCTTTATAATCCCTTTCCTCCTGCAGGAATGATCAGATTTGACCGAAATTTAGCCTGAAACATTGTCGGATGAAAGAGAATCAATTTTGTATAAATGGAAGGTGCCAACCCCCCAAAAGTGGAAATAGAGCAAATTCTTTAAAAACCTGTAAAAATGGAATAAAATGGGTGAAGGGGAACACAGTTTGTACAATGATTGTTTCTCAGTTCCCAGGAGCCTTAGGAGTGGGGCCCGAAATGGGATTTAAAAAAAACTTAATCCTCCTTTAAGAATAAATGGGTATTGACCAAATTTGATCTCAAGTATTCTTTGGTGAAGATTTTGTATAAATGTTGCCTCCCGGCCCCCTAGAGCGGGAGGGACAGGTCCAATCTGGGAAACGCATAATCCTAAGAGTCTTTTTCTGTACAAGTATATTGTCCAAGGTTGGTCTGAAACATTTTTTTATGAATAGTGAATCTGACCTTTGTTTGACCACAATGAATCGAGAAATACACCTATCTATGTTTTCTTATATCAATGCATGTACAGGTGTAAATACACGTATGTACATATATATATGACTGATGTTGTTTAGGTTTCTAAAAATATAACGGGAGTATAGAGTCGTTTTGTTTTAATTTGACCTACGCATGTTCGTATGATCAATACGGACCCAAAACCATTTCGGTTGATTTTGACATTCTTACATGAACAAAGGTGGGTCTTTTTTCCTTATTTTATACTAACGTGAGGATTATGTAATTGTTTTGATTAGCTGAAACTTACTTGCCAAAAATAAACAACGACGTTTTGAATATCTAGCATAAAATTTTGAAATGTCCCTGTTTTTATTTGGTCTTTTATAGCCTTCTTGGGAACCATATGGACATTCCAATTACAACTGTGCAAATGTATAGCTTTTCCGTTTGGTCTATGCTGACCTACAGTTTTAGACGATGCAGTGAAAAAAAAATTCTCGCATCCCACTCCAAAATGACCGGGGTTCGCGTCCTCAATAGGACTACAGCTTCGGTCATTCGGATTTACTCCAGCAATATATAAGCTCCCGTCCGGGTTATTAGGGGGACTATTTTAATATGATGTAACTAATTTTATAATATAACACTTATAGTTATACTATATGCTGGTAAACTTGGGAATTGGATGCAACCCTTCCCTTCTCCTTTTCTTTTGATTTAATCATAGTCCAGAAAACAATTTATACTGATTGGTGAACTGAGTGTTTACAATCCTGTCTTTTATGTTTCTTAATTTCATACCATCAGCAATGGCAAGCAAGGATACAACTAAGAATGGTGCATCTGATACGAAAAGCACACATCCCAAGCCTAAAGAGAGTATTTCACCTACACCTTGCAAGAATGATGGTGCACCTGCGATGAAAGGTGCATATCCCAAGCCTACCGAGAGTGTTTCACCTACACTTGGCAAGAATGATGGTGCACCTGCGATGAAAGGTACATATCCACAGCCTACCGAGAGTGTTTCATCTACATTTGGCAAGAATGCTGGTGCATCTGCCATGAAAAGTACACATGCCCCACCTAAGATTGATACAAAGCAAGATGAATCTAATCTGCAATCGTTAGGTAATAAATCACAACCGTCTAGTCAACCAATAGAAGACATCACTAAAAAGGCACCACTGCAGACAAAGACTGAATTGGAAAAGACTACGACTGACAAAATTGATGAAGAGAAACCTACACATATGGCAAAGTCTTCCGTTTCTGTCACACAAAAATCACAAAACCCTGAAAGTCAAAGCCAACTCCAGCCAAAAGATTTATTCTTGGGTAAAACAGTCACTGGTATTATGGACGCTCTTGGTTTCCTAGACAGCAGTGATGCTTCGAAAGAGTACCAGGAATTGCTTTGTCAACAACAACATTATGAATCACTCATTCCTTCAGAGGTATGTTGCTACAATGCTACTTCGAACACATGACTCTCGTTAAAATATCTCAGTCAGTGCAGAATTAGAAAGCCCTATGTAAATTGCAAGGCAAATACAAATTTCGAAATTCTGTGTCTAAATTTTTTTTTTCATCTTAATGTTAAAGACGAACTTAAATAGTTATTTCATGAATAATTTCAATGATGATAACTATCTTTTTCCTTCTTGCAGAAAAAAGAATTATGGCAGAAAAGCTTAACAGATTTAATGAGAGACTGCGACATTACCAAAGAACACAGTTCAGGACCTTTGTACAATAATCTGAAGGAACTATCTGAAAAACATCCAGAGAAAGGAAAATCAGCAATACAAGAGTACCAATTCAGAAAATCTCTGATTGGAAGTCTTCATGTGAGTTTTGTACTGATATACATATCTGCATGTAATGTTTAAATGCATAAATGTAAACTTTTCCAACTGGGGAGATCGCGGTTGACTCTAGGATGTTTTTTTTTTTTTTTTTTTGGTGTTTGAAATATGTTAATGATTTATATATTATCTTTAAGCGTATTCGTTTTTGTAAAAAGAAATATACATATAACCCCAAAATATCAGTATAATAATGATATAATATTCAGATATATATATATATACCATAGAAATTGTTGTGCTATGAGTTGCTCATACCTTCGCAATCTTTTCAAATCGTGGTTTTACATATACCTGATGCAAAAGGAGGAAAACAATTTTTGGTTTTCGTGAAATGATATATAAAAAATATGTCTTAAGGATTTGATTCCATTCTCCGAAAAAAAATAGGATTTAAAACTCGACAGAGACACCCTTCACAACATTTTTATTTGCTGTCCATGTTGCATACGAATTTGTTTAAGATCTTTGTAATCGAAATATATATTGATGTTAAATTCTGTAGTTTTGCTGAAGTGTGTATCGACTTTTACAGTGTTTTTATATTTATTTGATATGCAAATGATCATATTCTATTAGATAATAATGACTGTCAGCTGACTTTTGATTCTATAGAAATCAACAACTTTTACGTCACTTTTGTACTTTTGTTATTTCTTATTTAATCAATTTTAAAAAATTTTAAAACCATTAAAATCAGAAAACATAAACACGCGAAAAATACATATCAATTATGTATGCTTATATCCTGTGACATATATATTGCACATAACCTGTCTTATAGAAACAAGGGCAAAACGTTACACATAGCGATGCAACGGCACAACCGGCAAATCCAACAAAGGATAAAGGGCAATATGAAAATCTGCAAAATAATTCGAATGAAAACCAGGAGCCAATTCCAAGCGATTCAAACCAGGAACACCGAGGGGAGAACCAAAAAGACCCAGAAAATTTTAGAGTAATAGTTCCTCATGGATACATGTTGGTTAAAATCAAAGAATATGAACAGATGCAATATAATATTTCTAATCAAAGAGAAAGCATAGAGGAGCTAACAAGCAGGTGATCATTTATTTATCTATTTTATTGGTTATCGATTACAAAGGTAAGACATATATTTTGTGATTAGATAATTTAATATTAATGGACAGCTATGTTTCCCTGATTGTGTTGACTGGCAACTTATTTCTTACAACTTTGAATTACAAACATTTTTCTGATTCAAAGCTAAGGAAACAAATTTGAATTATTTTAAAATTAAAATTGAAAATAACGAAAACGGATTATTGTTTGAGAAAAAGGGAGGGGGTATTCAATTCTAATTAAATCATTCATTATATTCAGGTTGAGTGCCATTGCTAGTAACAAGCTTAAAGAAGGTAATCCAAACATAGCGGACTTGAGCGACAAGAATCGACCTACCAAGCTAGGGGAGCTCTTCGCCGCTCTGTATGACAACGAGTGGTCAGATGCTATGGAGGAAATTAATAAAGGCAATGGCGATGAAGACGAGGAGGACGAGGAGACGATGAAATGTATTCAGAGGTTGCTCGATGTTGTCAAGGTTTGTGTTATTTCATCCTGTTCTATCTGGTTTTGAAATTTATATGAACTAAACAGCTGATCATCAACTGCATGTTGTCTTTGCATATTGAAGTGAACAAAAGTATTAGTTCCTTATTTTTCTTTTTTATTCCTTTTAGTTTTCGTATTCATTCTGTCGGAAAGAGGCCGATTTACAGCTACAGAAAATTGCAATGGGAATGAAAGACGCTGTGTGCTTAACACAGAAGGTAAAGCAAGTTGTTACCATTGATCAACAAAGAAAGAAATCAGGCACAGAAAAGGAATCTATAAAAGAAGCTAAACCTGATTCGGTTTCTACACAGAAAGAGATTAATTTGGCTACGGCACCAGTCAGTGGTGGAGTACAAGGAAGCTCTGATGTAGTATCTGGTCAGTCTGGAAAAAATCCTGGATCTACTGGACAACAATCTGGAGAAACCAATGGTCAGTCTGGACAGAAACCTGGAACAGTGAGTGGTCAGTCTGGTCAGAAACCTGGAACAGTGAGTGGTCAGTCTGTACAGAAACCTGGGACAATGAGTGGTCAGTTTGGACAGAAATCTGGAATAGTGAGTAGTCAGTCTGGACAGAAACCTGGAACAGTGAGTGACCAGTCTGGACAGAAACCTGGAACAGTGAGTGGTCAGTCTGGACAGAAACCTGGAACAGTGAGTGGTGAGTCTGGACAGAAACCTGGAACAGTGAGTGGTCAGTCTGGTCAGAAACCTGGAACAACGAGTGGCCAGTCTGGACAGAAACCTGGAACAGTGAGTGGTCAGTCTGTACAGAAACCTGGAACATTGAGTGGTCAGTTTGGACAGAAATCTGGAATAGTGAGTAGTCAGTCTGGACAGAAACCTGGAACAGTGAGTGGTCAGTCTGGACAGAAACCTGGAACAGTGAGTAGTCAGTCTGGACAGAAACCTGGAACAGTGAGTGGTCAGTCTGGTCAGAAACCTGGAACAACGAGTGACCAGTCTGGACAGAAATCTGGAATAGTGAGTGGTCAATCTGGACAGAAACCTGGAACAGCGAGTGGTCAGACTGGACAGAAACCTGGAACAACGAGTGACCAGTCTGGACAGAAATCTGGAGCAGTTGTCAACAAACATACAGGATCAAGTGCAACACAACCTGGTACCCCATCTGTCGAAAACAAGGTACACGTAAATTTTTTTTATAAATCCCTGCAACTGGCACTGCCATTGTCGGAATACGCCTGCTACATATATTTTTGCTGTACTCGGCAGTGACGGAAAGCAGCTGTATTTTAGCACGTGAGGTTATCTGACAAAATTGCTCTCTGAATTTACTTAAATATTACGTCTAGAAATAAAAATGATTGTTGAAATTAGTGATTTTTACATGTTGTAATGAACAAGTTAATTCATGAAAATTCATAAAATCGCTGTTATTTCTAATGAAGTTTGGGGGTGTGTTTGAGTGTTTGTTTGTGTGTATACTTGTCAGATATAACATATATGTATATACAAGGTTCGTTAGGTGTTAGAAATTTTTAACTTTTATAATTACATTTATCTTCAAAAACATGTGACAGATTTGTTTACATTCTTTGATATACTTTTTACCAGAAGGAGGAACCGACAGGAGCCAAAAAGAAGACACCAGAGTCAGAAATGTGGTCACTGGCGTTAAGGCTTGCACGAAACTTCCAGAAGGAAACTGCCGTGACAACTGTAACACAGATTAAACAGGTAAATATCTAACTCTAACTTTGTTTATTGTAAGGTAACTGCTCGTGTTCAAGATAGGAATACAACTACTCAATAAGTAGAGTCTGTCTTTTTACCTGTCTTGAATTTACTTACTCATTTACTATGAAACAAAATATAATGAATTTACATTTGAAAACACTACAAGTCTGATATATCTTTATAAATTAAGGTGATAAGTTAAAGGTTATATAGGTTAAAGGTTATATCTTAATATATAAAGGTTAGACAAGGAGTGGTTGTTATTTATTGTATTCCTTTCACTCTCGTTATGTTTTCAAAACCACAACCGCAATTGTGTGTGACCTGTTTCTAAAAAAATAAGAGATCTATTCCGAGAGTGAATACACGTTTTGTACCAATTTGTGTTTTGTATACGAAATTAGTTGGGGCGTAATGATATGATCTGTAATAAATGGGGTTATTATAATCAAAGCAATAAGGTAAAAGAAATACATATCAGGATTGAATCATTTAAAAAAAAACAGTTATGAACAAGATATTACGCGAGTGCATTTAGCGCCCTTTTGGTCAAAGTTAAAATTCTCAACCAATCAAAAGACCAGAAGATCATAAATGGCGTATATCATATATTTTTTCCAATTGTCAGCATGTATGCATGAGAACGTATCATGGTAGAAATGGCATGATTCCCGTGTTCCGTGCTCTCGTGCAGATTGAATAAAATTGCTGATTGATACATGAAATCTCTGCTTCAGCTTTTTAAGTCCAACTGTTTCTACAAAATGAAGATGGATCCAACGCCCTTATCTACTACCATGGGTACCTACATCGACCGCTGTGTGGAACTGATGTGGTTAATGGCTGTGCAAGATCCTCCAATGGAAATAAAATGGGTTGCAAACGGTGAAAGAAGTGACACTAATTACTTCAAGTACTACCAGAGCAAGGGAAAGATGGTAAAGCAATGCGTCTGGCCGGCGGTCTTCTTGAGCGCTCAGGGCGGTATCGTTAGCAAGGGCTACATCGTTGGAGTGGCACCACCAGAAAAACCACAACAGAAAACAACAAAATAAGGTGTCTGTAGATTTTTGGATGATTTATCTGTGATGAAGTACAAATGAATTATCTATTATGACACAAACAAATCTACACTTGAACGGAATGCTTGAGCTGATAAAAAGATGCTAAGGATGATCTTAGAATGAATATAATTCATTATCAAGGCAAGCGTCAGATTAGAAGACATTTGACACTTACGTATAGATATATCAAACATACATATTCAATGAACGATAGATAAATATATACTTAAGTCAAACTTCCATGTAATGGAATGGCTTTAATCGCATCTCTTTTTTGTAGTTTTTGTTTTCTATCTCGCGGATGTGATTTTCGTTGTGTCAAAGCATTTTTTTAAACGTTATAAATAATGATTTCTTTGCTATTTATCTCTTTATATGTTGTTTAAAAGACACGTTTTACACTCAATTTTACAAAACACAGAACTTAAGATAAAAACTAGGTGTAAGTATTCATACAAATGTATCCGGATAGCATGTTCCATTTTAGCGAACAAATCTCTCGTTATACCAGATAGCTATTTCAATATTACTAGACAGCTTATGTCGTAAAAGCGAAGTTACTATCTTTGTGTAGCGAGATAGCAGTGGTACCAACATGGTACTTTGTCTATTTCATTATCTCTAGATAACTTGTTAAAACGCGATAAATAACGAGATAAGTGATGATATACATCGTCACCAATATACTCCGCTATTTTCTTTTAAGATTTATCTATCGAATGATAAAATCAAAATACCATTTTCATTTATCCTCATATACATCTTTGTGATTCTTAAATGTGGAATTAGTGCAGTTTGACTTCAAACTTAATATCCTTGCCGGTGGTGTAGTATTTTAATATTTAATTTGTTTTCATTTAATGAAGTTTGTTTGTTTGAGATTTATATTTATTTATATCTATAAAAAAGATAATGCAATATTATTATATTTATTTATAATCAGTTACGTTTATCCCGAACATGTAAACGGATTCACGTCGAAAATGCTTTAACCTGAATGATAGATAAAACGATGAAAACCACATGCAAACTGGAATTTGTTGATTTGTGACGAATGTTCATTTTAACTAAACCTTTACGAGGCAGACTTTTGTCAGAAACTCGATAGAATTTTATATGCAATAGCTGTTATTCGAGCTCAATCCGAAACTGAAATTTTTCTCTTATTTTTATCACGCCGATCGCTTTCTGTTTTGTTAGTCCTAGGCATTTCCAGTATATGAAATCAATGGTTCAAAGTTAGAGAGTTTTAAGTGTCGATACAATTTTCTACTGTGAATATACAATATTTTAATGGAAATAGAGAGGGAAAATGTTATTCGGTATTGGATGTAAGTTTTCTTTCCAAACATCACACAACAGACGCAAGTTTCTTTCACTTCAAACTCAGTGAAATGGCTGAAATATGTTACAGCGCGGTCTGATACCTCGAACATTCATCCAATCGTGGTTCTGTTAAAAGGTTTGTGACATTCTGCTAATACATAATAATCATCTTGAGACAGCTGTATAGAATAAAAAGAAAACAATACTAGAGATCTCGTATTGCTGTTACAATCGAGAATAAATAGAGGATTGAGTTTTATCAATTAAATACGCGTTAAATGAAAACCGGAAGGCTTCAGTGCTAACGAATTTTCGGAGGTACGAACTAATCATAAAACCAACTCCGTATATGACTTACTGTTACAATACGATATCGTTGTGCTCCAATTTCATGATATAAAAGTGTTTGAATGTAAAACAACATTACATGTTATATCTCATGTTTTCTGTAGCTTTCTTTACGAACTCGTGATGAATCAATCAAAATCATTATATATCAGAAATCACTTGTTATTCATTGTAAGATGTTGCAACGCTTTCAAAACGAAAATAAGTATATTTGAACATTATTTCAAGTATATCAAATGTTTTCTATTTTTGTATAGTATTCACATAAAAGCAATAAAATGAAATCCAATGAAAATCATGTGCATGCGTTTTCTGTTAAACAAAATGGAAAACATACAGATTATTGAATAAAGAACGTTATTTTTGTCTCTAAAACGTTACTAAAAGAAATTGTATTTCAGTGATTTTCAAATTTTAAAAATGAACTATGTATGTTTTGTCCGTCATAGTGACCAACAATGATGGTATGCTTTGGGATGTGCAGTAATGACGAATTTGCAGCTAACTCCAGCCCCTTGTTGTCGATGGTGCCCTGACCTTTAACAAAAGAATATATCGAAATATCCTGTGTTAAACCCAGCAATATCAGGTCTCTTTGGCTGGCCTAAATTTCCTCTGGAATGCACTTCTGTCTTAATAAGAATTGGAACTGTATATAATGACGTAAGGTACTTACTGGTTATATATATAAAGCTGGACCTGAAACTGACAGCAAAGTTGATATCAAATAAATATAACACCCTCATAAAGATATCATAGAAAAACGTTCTATCCAATTACGGATTTTTTGTAATGTTTGTCTGGAAGAGTTGTCTTTCGTGCGGGAATGTATATCGACTTCCGGTTTCTTCTAAACAATCAGCTGTCAATGGTGAATGACTGTTGTTCAGTGTTTGAGTGTCATAATTACAGTGGAAGAGTAGGTAAAAATGTTTTGATGATTTATTCTACGGTTGTTCTGGGCGATATGGGCAAATGTGAAGAGTTTATGACGAGAGAATCCATCGCCAATAAATATTTTTCGGAAAAAAACCCGAAATATTACTTTAAACCAGAAGTTGATATACCGTCCTGCAAGAACGACAACTCTTACAGGCATACAGTTACGAAATGACGGAATATATATCAGCAGAAATATGTAAAATATCTTTTCTCGTCAAACGCCTGAATTCATAGTTTATAGAACACTTTATAAAATCCCTCTAAGGTAAAGACTATCAATGTATCATGAATTTAAATCTGAACAATATAAGAATTTAATTTCTGGTATCTACGATATTCGCATATACGCATGTACGCCTGAAAATCCTGATTGATTTGACATATTTAATATTGAGAAATGGATGCGAAATTTGCCTAATTGACAGTCGTTAAGTAAATTTTATATCAAACAAATGTAAACTGGAACAATGTCTAAGCACATATGAACCCGAGAAAAAGTGTTCTATGAATGAACAAGACATACTATGTACATAATTAGAGACTGTACAGTTAAATCAAATGATGAAATAATAAAACAGTGCAATACAACTGTTTCGTCCTTCTATGAACCGTCATTTATGCAAACGCTTGAACAGATGAAATCTAGGACCAACAATATTAGTCGAAATAAGATGATAAAACAAAGTTTAGGCGATACTCTAACTATCATTCAATCATTTTCGTTATCAAGACCATTTAAGGTTTTAAACTTCATGGAAGATAATCACTTTAAAATTTCATATGACATATATACTTCTTTTACGTTAGGAAAGTTTTGGTTTTCAAAACAGACAATGCATGAAGGAAATGGTATACATAGAATAGCAATAACGGACATGTACACTATCGAAAACAGATCCAGTCTCTCAAATTGTTCAAATATTTTGACAGCACAGCTTATGCATAAATGCTTCAGTCTATTTGGCCCTATCTTAATGTTAATTATTTCTCAAGTTTCTACAACGCACATCTATAAATCTTGACATGCATGAACAGTTTTAGTAAATTACAAAATATTACAAGTCATATATGATATACTAACGTATCATCGTTTTCGACTGGTCAAGACAGACGCGATTCATCTATCGGCTGATTCAAAAGAATGTGTAAACAGATCAGATTACGCACAATATTACGCTAAATTAGTTTACTTTATTTCAAGCGTGAAACGCAAGGTTTCGATTTCTTAATGATAAACAGGTTGTCACATACACACTATCATAAATCATGTCCTTCGACAACTTGAAAATTCCTGTTATAAGCGATAGGACGCTTCCGAGAAAAGAATCTATTTGAAATAAACAACTCGTTAATTAGCTACGCGATACAATAGAGTGCATATGTATATGTAGACAAATACAAGCGTGTAAAATAGCACTAGCGTTGGGAAAGAAGGTACGTAAACCGCGACATCTATATAATTGGGGTACAAAAGGCTATATGGTACCTGGAGTACAATGAAGTATGAAATACTGTTAATAGTGTATATAATGTTATATTTGCTTAGCTGTCGGTCATATTAATTATATGCAGTATTGAGTTGAGTTGATATACTACCATGAAGTATAATACGATGGATATATATAAACAGCAATAGGGGCTATCAAGGGGAAATTGTTATATGTAAAAAATATTGCGACCAAACCATTTAATCATATGCGTTATGACCCGTTCAATGTAATAATCACATTATATATATTTGCTAATTGTGAATATGACTAGTTACAAGCAGATGCGACGGTAATATAACATAAAGAATATATATTTTTTTTGTTATATGTTTTTAGTTTTGTTTGAAAATATTACGACATTTTGATGTAGAACGTTTCATGTCTTGCAGAACATGTCTGACAGCGATATAAACGAGTATCTTAAAAGTCTCCACACATGTAGAAGCACTTCATCTGGACCATTCATCTGGCCTGAACGCAAATACAAAACAATGAAAAAACACCTGTCAGGGACTCTACACCGTGCGTGAAAATCTGGAGATAGCGTAAGTATTTGAAATACATTCAGAAATCACGACAGTATGATCTAAATTTAATCATTTTTGTATAGAGTGAATGTATCTCGTAAAAGTTGTGATAAAAAAGGGGTATGAAAACTTATAGAGGATAGTAAATACGGTATTCAACATCCATACAGTGGCACAGAAAATGAGTTTGATATAATCTAAAATCATATATCAATTTTTATCAAAAATGTATCTTTGGGGAAAAAGCACTTGTTTCAAACAACTTGGATACGAGATTGGTTGCTAGGCTCCCTCAACACTATCACCATCTGATCGCTTTTAGTCCACGAGACTGCATAAATCATGCGTCACGATATATACAAGGCGTATCAATTTTATTTTTTTACATTTGATCCTCAATATCCCATTGCGACAACATTACAAAAACAATGGGAATACAGTGGTGGCGTCAATAGTTCGGAA